ACAGTACAGGAAACTACTGAATACCTTGTAATAACCTATAATGAAAAAGAATATGAAAAGGAATCTATCTATCTATATATCTCTGAATCACTATGCTGTATACCAGAAATCAACACAACATTGTAAACTGACTGTACTTCAATAAAAAAGAAAATATAAAATGGTATAATTTTTAATGAAAACTGAACTTCACAACCCATGTTTTGTTCCTGTGTTAAAAAAGAGAGTATTTTCAACTCTGAAAAGGGCAGAAAACACATGGATTTGTGGAGACACTACCACTATCCACTGACTGCTGGTTCTCTCCTCCCAGATCCAAGGGAGGTTTGTGATTCCTCATCCTTTGACGTTTGGCTTGGCCACATGATTTTCTCTGGCCATGGAGTGTCGCCAGAAGTGATGTGTATCATTTTTGAGTTTAAAACAATGAATTGCCTGTGTATGACTTTCCAACATGATCATCCAGTCATTGCAATCATGTAAACCCATATGATACATAAGTACAACATTAAAATCATTGATGTTACTTGTTACTGCAGCATAACCTAGCCTAATCCAAACAAAAGAAAACTGAAGCCAAATACACGTGAAGTAATCATAAGAGAACATTAGGATGTTTTTAATATGTTTCCTGGCCTAGAAAAGTAGAATCCCGGGCTACATAGATATTCATTAAAAACAAAACCTTTGGGGTTTGAGACCTGGCTTTAAATCCTTATACTACTTACCATATGGGTGACTTGGGGCAAATATTTAGCTCTTTTGGTCTTGGCTTCCTGTTTTGTACATTTCAGACAGTCATGCCTACTTCACAGATTTGGGGGGAATTAAATTTGATAATAACAGGTCGGGGTCTACACTGTGTTTACGCACGCTGCTTTTCAATAAATGGTTATTGTTGTTGTTGTTGTTGCAGCTGAGAAAACTTCCCAAAGGTAGCCTCAGCATTCTGCCAGGAATCTTATAAGAATTATGAGAGAAAAATACTACCTTGCCTTACCAACAGGAGTGTGCTGCAAAAATATATATTGTGCTTAAATGTCTATCCCAAGTAATTTACTGGGTCAAGTGACAAAATGGAGTATTTGTGAACTCTAAGAGAAGAAAGATGATAAAAATAATATATTCATGAAACATGAGATACAGCTTAAACTTTTTGTAAAATAAGATTATCAGAATGGTAGATGTAGGGGGAAAGTATAGATAGAGTGTACCTAACCACAGCAAAACATTTCAGAATGTCTCCCTTTAATAATTGTAGATAAAAGTACAGAAATGACGATATCTCAACAACACAGTCCAGCAGATTTGTAACTAAAAGGACCAATACTACCGTATGTCAGTAGAGGCCTGGCACAGGGCTTTGTCTTTGCCCCATATCATTCATTCATTCAAAAGTGATTTAATGAACACCTACTACCTAATAGATGTTGTGCTAGGTACTGGGGATGTAGCAAGGAACAAACAAACTTTTGTTATTTTTTCCAAAATTAAGGACTTAGATAAAGGCATAGAATGTTGAACCAAATCCTCTTTGACACAAAATTGGGCCAGAGAGTAAATGCATTGAAAAGAGTAATCCAAATTCAAAATAATGTTAACAGATTATAGCAGTAGAGCAACTCTAGCACTTCATTGTGCCACTCTCGAGAATTTACTTAATCTCTCTAAGCCTCAGCTTTCTTGCGGATAAAATGGAGACAACGATATCAGTTGATTGACTTGTTTTGTGCTTTTAAGATAATGTATGTAAAGAATATAGCACAGCGCCTGGAATATACTAGATGCTTAAAATGTAATCGCTTTTATTGCTGTGGGAATTATCTTTCCACAAAGAGTCATTTACTCATGCATGCAAGGATTCTCAGAATGTACCAGAAGGCCAAGAGAAGTAAGGGGAATAATTCAAGGTCAAATAATGAGAAATTGACAGGATCAGAACTTAAACTCATTTTTCCCCGTTTCTGATTAAAAAGCTAATTCCAATCTTGTATTGATCAATACCTGATATTACAAACTCCTGTCTTATAGAACGCGGTTATTGAAACAATTTCAAGGTACAATAATTTGAGACTGCTGGAGAATCTTTTGGAGCTCAACAGGAAACTTTGTTATCCGCAGAGGAATTTCGATTTCTGTTGTTTTAAGCTAGTTACAATTACTGGAATCCAGTATCTCCTTTTAAAAAAATTTGGTGATATTACTTTTATTGAAAAATCATCCTACCCTATCAAGAAAGTCCTGTTCTGTAACTGCACACAAGTTAGAAGTTGGTACAGCACGAAAAGTCTTTCTCTTGGAAATCACAAAGGTGAATAAGACTGGGTGAAGTGAAAACAAGCAAGACTGAGCATCTTCCAGCATCCTCATGGCAGCCCAGTGATGAAAGTGGTTAGTGTCCTCATCTCTAAAGTGAGGAAGGAGGTTCAGCTAGTAAATACTTGAAATGAGACTCAAGTCCAGGTCTTGGCGATTCATTTCTCACGCTCTTTCTCTGTGACCACATCGCCTCTGGCATGTTTTTCTGCCTATGATGAGCTGCTGAGTCCTTAGCATTACCTCAAAACTATCTGCTCACGACGTAGGTCATACTTGGCTAATTCCCACTCCCCAGAGAATGGCCCCATTTTGGGGCCTTTTCTTTAGTATGTCAATGTAAGAGCAGTGCCAAGCTTAGAAAATAGATTTGTAAGCTATTAAAATCTTACCATTTTAACAATACTACTTTAATTGTGTGTATATGCATTCATATTTTTAAATAACTGTAATCATACTCTATACAATTTTGTATCATTTATTCCCTCATCAAATGCATATTTATTATCTGTTGTGTTCCAGGTGCCAGTCTAGGAGTGAGAACTACAGCGGAGAACAAAGTCCCTGATCTCTTTGAGGTTACATCTGCTGAAGGAGACAGATAATAAACAATTAAATAAGTAAAATATAGTGTACATTAGATGATAGGTGCTAAAGAAGAATTAAAAAAAAACAGGCAGAGGGAGTGGAAGTTTGGGCGGGGGCTGGAAGAGCAGTTGAAATTTCAGACAGATTCCAGGAAACACTTGGCTGAAAAGTGAGTGAAGACTTGAAGGAAGTGAGAGAGGGAGCCCCGTCTGTGGCGTGGCTGGCAGAACTCTAAGACGACCCCATGGCACCACCTGCCTCTTAGTTTGATTTCCATGATGATGTTATATTACATGGCAAAAGTAGACACTGACCTTAATATAGAGACATTATGCATGTGGGCCTAACCCAGTCACACGAGCCCCATAAAAGCAGAGTTTTCTCCAGTTGGAGGCAAAAGAGAATGTGAGGAACAACCGAAGGAGGTTCTCCAGTGCTGAGATGGAGGGGGCCACATGGAAGGACCTGGGAGAACCCTCTAGAGATGAGAGTGAACCCCAGCCTACAGCCAGCAAGATGATGAAAAACCTCAGTCCTACAACTGCAAAATACTGAATTCTGCCAATGACCTGAAGGAGCCTGGAAACAAGGCTCTTCCCAGAGCCCCCTGATACGAGTCCAGCTGGCCTTCACCTTGATTTCAGTGTGTATGGAGCTAACTGAGCCAAGTGTAGAGGAGTGAAGACACAGTGGTAAGGCCATTGCTTCATGCTTCTTTTCCTAATGATAAGGATATATCCATTAGCTACACAATATTCTCACACGTACCACAGTTTTCCTAGACCTTCCCCTCAGACTAATTCTGTTGCTTCAAGTCTTTGTTATTAGAGACTGCCTCAATAAGGACCTTCATTCACATAGAACTTTCCCTTAGTTTGCTAATTTGTCTTTCCAAAGATTGTTATTTTATCATAATACATGGGCCTCAATTTTCCCTGGACTCTGGCAGGCATTGAGTATTATCATTCTTTTATATTTGTCCTATTTTAATAAGTAAAAGAATAGCAACAAGTAAGATCTTTTCTATTGAATACTTACAGGAATGAAGATTTCTCTCCATTTGTTTCCTCAGAGCGTTTCCTTTCGTAGGAGGCACCGTTGCTTATTGAGTTACTGACAGGTAAGGCAGTCAATAGGAAGAGGTTTCAGGCTGGATTTGGATCATGACTGGCTCTTCTTTGATCCCCTCATGCCTCTTGTTCTTCACCTAGGAAATTAAGACAGAGTTTGGCATCATATCAAAACAATATTCACAGAACATTTACAGAAGTGTCATCTTGCATTTCTTCCTATTAACTTACATCTATATATTTTCTTTTATAACAACAAAGTGTTGTATAGTGCAGATAACTCTGCTGGATTAAGGAGTCCTCAACCATCTTATTCACATGCTGCATAACCTTGAGTAAGCCACTTCACCTCTCTGTGGCTTAGTTTCTGCAGCTATATAATGAGGAACTCAGAATAATTTTTTAGCCAATTCTTATACACTATGATAGTCTATGATCCTGCACAATAACTACCTACCAAGTCAGATGTGGGCTCTGGTAAATTGTATCCTCTCAGCCTAGATACAGTGGGTCTACATTTGACCACAAAATTAGTTGTTTCTGACCAACTCCCTCAGATAAAACACACAGATGAACAATAAATGCTACTTTATTCCAACATGTTTAATAAGATAGAGGGATGATTTTCAGGGGAAAAGTACATTCCCAAATTGGTTCTTAAACTAGAAATGAGTAGATCAATAATCACACATACAATTGAACAGGTATCAAATGAACATCACTCAAGAAGAAATCTGGCTAATTTTGTTTGTAAATTCTTTCAAAGGCAAGAAAATTATTCTGCTTTCAAAAATATTTCTTAAGTAAATATCTTAAAAATACAAAGATCTATGGAAAACTTTCTCATTCACTTTGAGGCTAGTGTAATTTTAATATCCAACTCAAAAAAGATCACAGTGAAAGAAAACTAGATCAATCTTTTTATTCCTATGGATATAAGAATCTTAAAACATTATTAGATTCTGTCAGGCAGGATAAATATAGAATACTTTGAAATTACTAAGAGGGGTTTTTCTAGGAATTCAAGGATGGTTTGATTCAACATTATTTGTGGTTATAAAACTTTTATAAATAGAATACAGAACAAAACTTCCTTAACACGATAGTTTTTTTTAAATAGACTCTAGCAGCAAATATCACACCTAATGGGAAATATCAGACATATTTATTCAAATGTTATAAATAAAATAAAGATGAAGCTTATCATTTTTCAATATTGAATTAAAGATCTTAATCAATAGAATAATAAAAATAAGAAAAAAATATATATTGCATATGAAAAATGTAATCCTCATTTGAAAATGATATAATTATCTATCCAACGGCAAGAAGCATCATGTCTCATTTTATTTAATATTATGGCCTGAATGTCTTAATATTTCTTGGAACATAGTGGAAGTTGAAATATATATTGAATGGTAAATAAAAATAAGGAAAATTTAACTAAAATTATTTAAAAATAGTAGAATGATAGCATTCAAAAAGGTAAGCAAATCTGAAAATCTGTGGTTTGCAGGTATAGGAATGATAGCTGGAATAAAATTACATCTTATGGAAGGAATGTACAGAATCTCTAAAAAGAAAATTATGAGAGTAGACTTTAATATCCTTTGAGACATTCATGTTTCTAGATAAGAAGGCTCAATTAAGTGTGAATTTTCTCTCAAATTAATCTAAAATTGTATACAGACTATAAAAATTGCAATAAAGTTTTTTCAAAGTTGAAAACTGACCCAAACTTTATTTCAAAAAATACAGTTGGGAGCCACTAAAAGAAGATGTAATAGAGAAGACCAACGAGTGAGGGCATTTGCCACTGAAGGTATCAAAATGCACTACAAAACTAGTATCTTTAAACCATAATACAGATCCAGCAATTGGTGATATAAAATAGAGAATCTAGAAGTGGATCCAAGATATATAAGAATATAAAATATGATATAGATGTAATATGAGATTGGTGAGAACAAAACTATTTACTTTAAATAGGTTCCATTTAGTAAAAAAAATAAATTGCTATCCATATCACAACATGAACAAAATTTATATTCAAAGTTAAAATTTTAAATATTAGGAAAAATTATAAAATAAGTAGAAAAACATATTGCAGAATATTTTAGAATGAGGAAAATTTTTCCTAGGTATGATGATATACTTGAGAAATTTGACTATATTAGGATTAAAATCTTTTGTACAGAAAAGTGAAAAATTAAGAGCAAATAAAAATAAAACAAGATAGAATATGTCTAAACAAATGTTATTAGTATATATAGAAGTATTAAAATGACAGGACACAGACAAACATCTCAATAGAAAAAAAGTGCATATAGATTTGCAGTTAAGCATTGCAGCTTGAACATACACATTTATCTTGGTTCCCTACAGGAAATCTAGTATAATGACATTAAAGGGATGACAAAGTATGGACCTGAAGACAAAAAGAATAACAGAAGAGACAACACAAATGGGAGATGTCAATAACATTAAAAAAAAAAAATCTTAGCATAGAGAACAGATAGGTGAGTGACTCTGATGCCTTGGTAACGGCATACTGTTCCACAAGCACACCGACCCCATGCCCTATGCATGGCTTTCAGTTAGCATTCCCATGCCTGATCCCAAAATACAGTTAGACAAGGAACACAAGATATATGTGGAAACACTCCAATATGAAAGACAGAAACCCAAATTAACAGAGAAGAAAAGCTATAACACAAGGAGAAGGAGAAAGCTTTTATATCCTTATGACAATAAAAGAAGCTATTGCATTCATGAAGAAAAAAGAGGACATTATAAGAAGAGAGCAGGCAGGGAATAAGAACAAACCACTACAACATGATAATATGATTGCTAAAATAAAATACCTAGTAGAGGTTGGAAAGTATCAGAGTCTAGGAAGTCTAGAAATTCTTCCAGAAAATAGAACAATAAGCCAGTGAGAGAAAATGGGAGTTAAATATGAGAAATTAGAGGATAAATTCAAGAGGTCAAACCACAAATAGGAGTTCCAGAAAAAGTGAGGACATGTGTGTGTTTGAAAGAGACAGAGACAGAAAACAGAGAGAAATTGTCAAAGAAATAATTCAAAACATTTCCTAAAAACAACAAACACAAATTTACTTAAAGGCTACTCCCAACCGTCAGCCCAAGTAATAGAAAAGAACTTGCAAGTATACCATGAAATTTCAGTGCCTGAAGAACAGAGAAAAATTCTAAAAACTAGAAAGCAAGACAAAAACACAAGAGATCAAGAATCAGAACAGCACTGGACTTTTCAACAGCGCCATGGATGCTGAAAACAGTGAAGAAAAATGTCTTTACAAATCTGAAGGAAAAATAGTTTCCAGGCTAGAATTACATATACAGGCAAATTATCAGTCAAGTATGAGGGCAGAAAAACATACTTTTAGACCTAAAAGTTTTCAAAAATAAAATGTTTCCAGGTACCCTTTCTCAGTATCATCCTAGAGTTGCATCCTGTAACAAAATTAGGGAAAAGGATGAAATGAAGTCCAGGAGAACAAACTGAAACACAGGGCAACTGCAAAGGGGATTTCAGAATAATGGAGAGAGGAGGGTATTTGTGCAGCGGGCCCAAGTGTCAACTAGCTGACATTGGAGCACAATGATGGAGGCCTTTTTTAAAAAAATATTTTATTGAAGTGTAATTGATTTATAATGTTAGTTTTAGAGGTGTAGAGCAAAGAGATTCAGTTATACATATACATACATATATTTTTTTTTCAGATTCTTTTCCATTATATGTTATTACAAGAAGTTGAATAGAGTTCCCTGCTATACAGCAGGTCTTTGTTGTTTATCTATTTTATGTATAGTAGTGTGTGTCTGTTAATCCCCAATCCCTAATTTATCGCTCCCTGCCTAAAATGCTTAACCTATTTAGAGTTTTATTACTCTGGCAGAGATCTGGGTGATAGAGATTTGTGTAAATAGAAAATTAAGTGCAAACCCCCAAATGAGGTAGTTATTAACTCCAGGCAAAACAAAAAGATGAACTAGAAAGAAAATCTAAACTGTGTACTATACTTACTGAGCTGTGTGAGGTGAACGTGATAACCATTACACCACAGAAACTGTTTTACTTACTGAGCTGTGAATCGTATTTATGTAATGATGATGTAAACAGTGAATATAAACTTAGCCCCAAATTATGATATATCTGCACTGAAAGGTCAAAGAGAATTGAAAAAGCCTGTAGCGACAAGATGGGATGGGGGGAATGTGAAAGGAGGGATAAATCATCCTTTTACCTACTGGGAAATTAAGAGTTAATATCTGAAATTTAAAAATGAAAAAAGTAGTAAAGAAGTATATAATTTAGAAACATAAAATTAAATAAGTTAAATATCAGAAGAAACCACTGTAAGAGTTGATTTTGAGCATAGTTATCTCTGGGTAGCATGGTTGGGACGGTAAAAAAAGATGGGATGGAGAAATGCTATTTTTTGCTAATAATCCTTGTATCCCAGGGGAACTTTTAAATTATGCATATGTAATATTTTGCTAAGAAATAAAGAGTCAAAAGATATGAACTGGAAAATCAAAATAAATTTGAAAGATTAATAATCATCAGAAAAGATGCAAAACTTCAATAAATAATCAAGTATTCAAATTTAAACAAGAAAATATTTTTCATGTATTATATTGGCAACAATTTACAAAATTTATAATACCAAGAGTTCATAAAGTGGCAGAAAAATGAGGACTCTCACCAAATGCTGATGGAAGTGTATAAATTAGCCTACTTCCTCTGAAGAGAAAAATGGCAATTCATATCAAAATTTAAGGAAATCATGAGAAAACTTTTCAAAAATATGTACAGAAAGACATTTATTAAAGCATGGTTTATAATAGCAAAATATCAGAAACAAGCTAAATATTCATTTTATAGAGCATTTTTAAAAGAACATTAATAAGATAAAACCATATGCAATTAAAATGATATGTAGATTCACATTTATTGTCATGGAAATATGTTGGCATTATACTAAATTATATGAAAAACATGGGTAACAATCGGGCAATACCTCAATATTAAAATGTATTATAATTCACTTTAATTTCTGGAAAGTGCCTTCCTCCTCCATTATATGTTCTTTTAAAAGTTTTATTCTAACTATTTTGTTTATTCCACAAGAATAACTAGAATTAGTTTTGTCATGATCCCAAGCTATAATGTGTGATCCCATTCAACCCAAAATTAGCTGTCCATCTTTCTAGCATTCCCTCCATCCACCCATGCTAATATTAGATAGGTTGTACCAACCTATCTAGTTACTAATATAAAGAGCATGGGATGATGTCTGAGAGAAAACAGAAATTTGCTTTCTGTTTTCTAACTTCTGCATTGTCTTTATTTCTCTTTTTACGATGAAAAAAAATCACGTGTGGAATCCTCTCAAAAAAATATTTCCATTTAACAAAATAAAACAGAACACAATGGGTATTTTTAAAAATGGGATTTACTTTTTTTTTTTTTGTCAGGACCAGTGATTCATCTTAGACCATGTTGATTCCATTGACCATTTTGCAATGAACAGAGGGAGAGGTTGAAGACAGCAGAAGAGACCGAGATAACCAAGGAACTGAAGTCCCCATGAAGGTGAGCAGGGAAGGCAGGAGCCCAGACAGAATGGTTGGTCCTGAACAGGAATAGATGGCTTCAGTGAGGGAAAAGGGTGAGGGTATGTGAACATGAATTAAGAGCGTGGGGTCAGGAGAGGTACGGAAGAGGAAGCTAAAGCCAATGCTGACAGCTCAGCCACATGAGCAACTTTGAAAATCTGTTTTGTTATACCTACACATGCTTTCTTTTAAATCTTCTTTCTTTAATATAAAATATATTCATGCTCTGTGTAGAAAACTGGGGAAACACAGGAAAATACAAAAAAGAAAATTATAATTTCCTTTATGTCCCCTTTGTACTTTCCCATTTTCAGTCAATATTATACCCTGAGAATTCCCCTGTCTTTAATATTCATTTAAAGCGTAATTTAATGTCTATAAATTTTTCCATTATATTTAATTGTCTTAACTATCCCTTTATGCTCAGATATTTAGATTATCTTTTTTCATTCTACTATAAATATTTTAGGAATATCCTTATCTAAAACTCTTTGCACAGCTGATAATTCACTGGAGTACATTTTGACAAGTGGAATTACTGGGTCAAAGGGTGTGAACTGTTTTAGGCATTATAAGCTATCTAGCCTGATTGATTTTCAAAAATGTATCTCTATTTATATTCCAAATGAGGATCCATCTGATGATATCTTCATTAGCATAGGATATTTTAAAAACTCTTGCTAATTTGGTAAGTTAAAATTAATCAATTGCTCATTGGGTTTTTTTTTGTTGTTGTCAGTGGAGATGAACTTGTTTTTATATTTCTACTCCCATCTCCATTTCTTCTACTCTTTCTTCCCATACTGAGCAAGTTTGGATTATATCATGGACACTGTACTGTTACATTGTAAAGACTCTGGATTCTTCTCTGTTTCTCCAAAAAGTGTTGACCTCCTTATGTAGGCAATTAACATGCCTCAAAATACAAACTCTCTCTTGGGTAGAAACTCAAATCTCAGTTCAGTTATTTAGCTTTAACTATTCTGCTTGTAATCTGTTTCATGCATGCATGGCGTAAGAGTCAACCAGATATCTGGATAGAATCATGCACAGAATGCAGGGCTTCCTTCCCACTCTGGTTCTCTCATTTCCAGTAGTCACCCTGCCCCTCACTTTCTAGCACCCATGGTTGCTCCCAAATCAGTTCCAGCTTTTAAATCTGTTTTAGCCAACCTGAATGGCGCAGACTAAAGCCTGCCTTCCAGCTAAAATACACACACACATACACAGACATACACACGCACACACCCATGGGAGAAAACCACCAAGTGCCATTCCCTTTTTCCAAATAATTGACTTTCCTTCAAAATGTGCTTGTGTCTGTTCACTCTTAAACCTTTAGATTGTTATTTTTATATGTTATTGTGATTAAAGTTGTTATCTGCAGAAGAGTTAGCTTCATATGAGTTTACTTGGCCACTACTGAGAAGAAAATCTCCAGGACTATAGATAATTAATTTTCACTTCTACAAAGGGTTTTTTTCCTCTTTTTTAAAAACAAAATGTAATTCCCAAGTACATCTCAAGAAAGGTAAGTTTCTCAGAATTCCAGTCTTCCTCTTTGAACATATTGGGGGAATGTTTCCTACAAAAGTTGCTCCTGGTAACTGGAGCTGTCTAGTTAGCTTCAAACATCCACAGAAAACTGCACCTGAGCTCATACTGAACACGGTAACAATGGCACCAGGGGATGGAGTGCCCAGAAACCAATTAAGGCTGTGGTAAAGAAGGGGTTTTCTTCAATGGCTAATGGAGACCATAAACAGAGGCTCTGACCACAGAGAATTTGATGCTGGCCACCCTTTCTCCTTAAGTTTGAACAAAGATCAGTGACCAAGAGGCCTAATCTAATATAAGCCCCAGATAACTTTCGTGTTTGTATTACTTCATGCTTAGCAACAATCGCTCAGTTATGACTCCCTGGCACAAGGAAATATGACACTGCAACAACAAGGTATTTGTTAAGATCCCCACGTTCCTTTTCATCTTACAAGGATGTTAGAACTTACCTGTTTTAACCCATCATTCTACTTATCAGAAACCCACAGTTTAAAATAGGGAAGACCCACCCAGGATAACACAGGAAGGAGCGGAGCTGCCATTAGCATGCTGTTACAGCATCTCTCATTTTGCAGTCTGACTCTCAGCAACACATTTAAGGTTTCAGAGATGCTGCTACATGGTGTGTCCTCAACCTTTCTTAAGGCTAAACTGTAAAGTGTTCTGAGTGGAAGAAAACAGTCTGCTCGGTGATGCAATCACAATCTCCTGAATTCAGCAAGATGACAGTGTGATCACTGCATTTAATGGTTGGCTGTTCTCCAAAATCAGGTTGGCAGGTAAGGGCATGTGGTCCTTCTTGATTCTCCTCTCCTCGCTTCCCCACCTCCTTCCTTCCCATTACCATCTCTGGGGCTCCATGCTTTCCCCCCACGCCTGTCTCATAGGATTCAGTTACAAAAAAAAGGACTAGCCAAGATGTAAGTCAAATAGCAAAAAGGAACTTGCCAGGCCAAAGTCAAGTCAAACCTGAATTATAAACTTCTTTTCCTGTGAAGTGTTTGGTTCTTCATACATAATAATTTCAGTATTCACTTGCTATCTAAAAATACAAGAACATGTTTTTACTCATCAATCATCCACACTTATGCTACAGGAAATGGAACAGAGCCACTCAGTCTGAAGAAAGAGCTTCTGCACGTTCAGAAATCCCTCCTTAAGACCTAGCTACCAGCTCAGGCAAATCTTGTAGGACATCAAAGTCCTCAGCATGGAAAAGTCAGAGGAGACGTAGTTTCACATTATAGGAGTTGGAAAAAAATAAAACCTGCCTGTCTTCAATAGTCTGTAAGGTCTCTCTTGTCTCCACGCAGGAGAGATTCCTAAGGTGTTATCCACTTGATCATAGCATTCCTCGTCTCTCCTTTTATCTCGTGCCCTTCTCCTCTTTCCAAGATCATAAATCAACAGAGACAGGTCTTCATTCTTCTTTTGAAGAGATGGGAAGGGGGGAGTCTAGACTTCTCCTATTCCATAGCAAAGTGAACAACCTGATAAATTTTACTACCTGCATCTCGGGTAAAAACTGGAAATGTTTCCAAGCCCAAGTGGACAATCTGTAGCCAGGAGCCTCTGCAGCACCAGTCCAAGCTCTTTTTCACATTCCCCTCTACTGCAACACCAGGAAGGAAGCCCATGTGGGAAGATGGCAGATTGGTGCAAGAGACTTCAGATTCCAGAGAGGGGTCACAGTCAAATCCAAGAGTGTGTGACAGCTGAAATTGTCCATGATTTACAAATTGCTGAAGGCAGCGACCCCACCATAAAGAGCAAAGGTCAAAAGGGAAGGCTTGGTGCCCATTGCTGGCATTAGGTTTCTGTCTAGAGGAGAAGACAGCCCACAACTGAAGGACATCTGGAACTAATTAGCGGGACTAAGGAAACTTGAGGCTAAGAGGTGGGGGTGGGATCAGAGTTGCATTAGTCCTTAAAATAAGAAATAGTTGGTCCATCTCACCAAAGGCTCTGCTGCTCCTTATCTCTCTCGTCCCCCACATAACTTAAACGTCACTGATTAAAGTCTAGTCTCATCTTTCAACTTCCTGCAATACTATGGATCTTAACAGCAGAATAATACAGCTTTACAAAATGAAAGGAATCAGCAGACATTACTGTCTTCCTCCAGGATGCTCTGGACCTGGAAATGTGGGAGATGTCAGGGAAAGAACTGAATTTCAGAGTCAGACAGACATGAACTCAAATCTTCACTCCACTGCTTACAAGCTATGTGACCCTGAGAAAGCCAGGTATCTCCACCAAGCTTCTCATCTGTAAAACGCATGGCTGATATGAGGATAAAATGTGATAAAATATGAAAAGGCCCCCAATGGTGCTCAGCACACAGCTGAGCTCATTAATTAGAAGTCTCTTTTCTCTATGCTCATGAGAAAACATTACAAATACAATAAAAGTTATTTTTATCAATCAGTCATTCCAGAAATTGAGGCACACAGCAGAGCCACAGTACTTAAAACAGTGTGGTTTTGTTTAAAGAACAGGCAAGGAGATCAACGGTATAGATTGAGAATCCCCCCAAATTGTCTTACTCATAGATAGAAATAAAATCAAGCTGCGTTAAAGACCCATATTTGGCGGAAAGAAAAGGCTGATTTTGTGCCAAGACAATAAAGGACAATAACAAGACCCTGGAGTTGGGAAGATTTTCTTAAAACCAGTTATGTAGCAAAAATAGAAAGGAAAATAATAGAAATTTGAACATGAGCAAAGGTAGAAGACGAGACAGAATAGTCTGACGGAATAGTCACACCTGTAAAATACTGAGAAACAAAACAGACCAAGGATAAGCATCTGAAACTTTCAAATAATTGTTACATTTCTATTAAAAAAAGTAAAAAAGCTGATGAAAATATGGCTTAAAGCACACAAATACGTAATCATAGAAGATGAAATCAGAATTGCCCTGTGAACAATGGTTCTGCCTCATTATTAACTAGAAAATGTAAATTAAAATAACAATGAATTACCATTCTGCTACCAGTTTGGCAAAGATTTAACAGTTCGATAATATCAAGTGTAGACAAGCAAGGGATGGGGTGGGGGGATTAGAGAGTAAAATTAAACATAGCTGCTCATGACCTTGAAATTAGTACAATCAATCTGAAGGGCAAGATGGTGGTATCTATTAAATTATTTACTCTAGGCCCCAGCAATTTCTTTCTACAAATCTGTCCTGGATAAAGACATGTGAAAAGATCTGATGCAGATCTGATGCAGTATTGTATATGAAAATTTTTTTTAAATTTTTAACCATAGAGAAAGGATGAATACAATTTCATGAACACAAAGAATTCCTATAAAAAGTTCACAGGAATAGTTTACACATATTAACATGAGTCACAAAAAAACCCAGAAACCAATATTTGATAGTTCTCCCAACATTTGGATATGTATGAAAAATACAAAGAATTTGAGAAACTCTTCCGTCCCACAAATTCACCATACAATCTGCTCTCAGTATTGATGGGAAGATGCCAGTATGGGGACATGAGGTATCGGGAGAATACAGTTTAATCTGCGGTGGTCTAAGTGTTTTCACTGACTTATTTACTGCTTGTGTAAATTTAAAAATAAATACGTATAAATATTGAAGAAAGATTAAGGTGCAAATATCCCAAAAATACTGTCAGTGATTTATTTGGGGGGTGGGGTGGAATGAGGAGGGAGTATGGCGATTATTGTTTCTTCTTTATACATCCCTATAATTAAAAAAAATTTCCAAAGAGAAAAACAATCACCATTATTCAATGATACTCATAAAATCTCAGGTTATGGCACAAGATATCAAGCTAAACTTGTTTAGAAAAAAATGTTCTTGCCCAGTTTTGCAAGCATGATCTCATTCGATTCTTGTATTAACCCTATGAAATGGGTATTATTATCTCCATTGGTAGATAAGGAAATTGAGTTTCCAGGAAACTAGGCACAACTACAGTCACAGAGCTAATAGGCTAATATATGTCTTTAGATACCAACATTGATATTTTCCCCACCATACCAGAGCTTGCTCAATGCCAATATTAAATGCTACTTTTTTTAAACAAAGCTACAGTTTTTTTTTACAAATTATAAAGCTGCTTCACTGCTAAATAAATTTGAAATCTAAGAAAGTGATGAATTAAACAAGATTTAAAAATACATAGACATTTTACAGACATATGTGCATTTAAATATAGGAGTTCAACCAACCTATTTAGGAGACCAATAATACTGGTCTCAAAGAAGGCTAGTGTGTAGAAGAGTCGTTTGCACAAAAGGAAAAATCCTTTGTTCAAACATAATATTCTTATGCAGTGTGATACAGCAGCAGGCAGTTCTACAGAATCAGTTGTTCACTGGAACAGTATTAGCAGGATCTCAACTCAAACAAGCCTGAGACAATGAGGCTTTATTGCCTTACAGAACTAGTTTCAGGTATATCTGCATCCAGGGGTTTAACAGATGTTATTAGATCTCTCTCTTTCTCCCTCTCTCTCCTCTTCTCTGTGTTGTCTTCATTTTTAAGCATGCACTAGGCAAGAGGTAGTATATATAACTTTCAAGTTCTCCAAGTTCCCATGGATATACTTTCTTGCAAGGAGAAAAGAGATCTTCTTTGCCTCTGTGTGAGTCCCTGAGAAATAAGTCATCCATGCCATAGTAATCTCTGTAGCTAGTGGGACTGGTCCATCCTGAGTCTTTATTAACTATCCTCTTAGCCCCAGGAAAAATGGATTCAACCCCACTCAAATCAAAGGGATTGAACTGGATTATTATAAAATGGGTCAAGAGAGGTTATCCAAAGGAATACTGGGCAAAGAACGTATGAGCCCAATTCATTTGCAGCTTTGACAGTATTATGTGGGTGACCACTGGAAGAGGGGAGACATTCGTAACAGCTACCTCATAGGGTTCTCCTGAGGATTAAACGATAGTTGGAGAGAAAAATGTGCTTAATATGGCATCTGGCAGCTAAAAAGTGTTTTATGAAGTTTGTTTCCTAACTAATTAATCAAAGGTGGGGTAGTTCTGAACACTTACATCACCTCATCCCAGAGACTTTACCAGTTAGCAAGTTCAGCTGAACAATACAGCATCCCCACTGAATGTGGAACAGAATTGCAAGCCCATTTCAAGTTGTCCTTTGTAAGCCAGGGGACTGTGTGACCCAGGAGTCATTAACAACCACAGTAACAACGACTTCAGTAACTAACATTTATCACATGCCAACCACGCGCCTAGTAGCTTGCTAAGTGCTTAACACGCACTTTCTCACGTCATCTTTACCATAACTAACGAAGTCGATGTAACTATCATTTCCATTTTACAGATGAAGAAACAGATGTAGCGAGGCCAAGTAATCTGCCCAAGGTCAAGTGAGTGACAAGGCTTGGACTCCCACTCGGCTGTGTTTGACTCGGGAGCCTGAGCTCTTAACCACGCATTGTTCTGTCTCATGCTGCCCTGCGCGCCCTCATAATACCCCGAGGAGAAGACTCAACATGAAATAGCATTTGGCTGCATTCCAATCAGTCAACACATTCATCACCAGCCACACAAAGAGAGCAGGTAGGCTGGATTCCCTGTGCTGAACAAAACAATTCAGGCAAATGCAGGCACTGACCTCTAACTCGATTTGGAGATTTAGCATCTCTATCTTGAAGACTTCCCTAACATCTCAGCTGCTCTGTTTCATGGGACCTTTTGTTGATGGGGTCAAGAGGGGTCAAAGGGAATTTATCTTTTTAGTTTTTGTGTTCTTTTATGAAAAAAATTACTTAACCATCATGGTTCTGGAGTTATTTCTCATTGGCAGAATTGTGGAGCTGTGTACTGATTCAGAGAAGTGTCGGGATGCTGGGCACAGATGGCTTTAATTATTTGGGCAGCCACTGACAGATGTGACGGTCTAGGTTTCTGCTGCCTGGACAGGTGTAAGCTATAGGATTTACCCAGAGGGAGTTGTGGACAGCCAGAACTGGATAGAGCCCTGAGATGGCCCTTTATTTTGTCTTAATCCACCCCTAGGTACATAGTTATCATATTTCTTTGCCTCAAGGCACAGTCAAGTCAGTCAAAACCATCAAACCAAGTTTGTGTGCAGAAAGAAAATCTCAAAGAGAGAAGTACACTGTTAGCAACTGGTCCCAAACTCTGCTCAGTGTTTTTACACAGATGCCTTTCTTCTCATTAATTATGGCTTCATAATCAAAAGGAGATATGTGTATCCCTCCTTCTGGATCAAAACAAGGATATTTCCTTCTCCAATTAGAATCCACATGAATAATTTCCAAACACTGAGTGTCAGTCTGTGAAAACTTTCATTATTTTGTTCAGCAAGTTTATTGAGCAAGTGATGGAAAACCCGGAGAGAAAGCAGATATGCTCCCTGCTTTTAAAGAGCTGGGGAGTATTCCGAGGGAGTTTCCAAAGCTTTGAGCCAATTAGAATAAGAGACTCAGCACATATCATGTCAAGGCATTATTTCATGTTCTGGGGATGCATTGGTGATCAAAATAGCCCCTTTCAGGAACCCTCCTACACTGCTGCTGAAAATGTAGTTTGGTGCAGCCATTATGGAAAACAGTATGGAGATTCCTCAAAAGATGAAAAATAGACTTACTATATGATCCAGCAATTCTACTCCTGGGCATATACTCAGAGGGAACTTTAATTTAAAAAAAATGCACCCTAATGTTCATAGCAGCACTATTTACAATAGCCAAGACATGGAAACAACCTAAGTGTCCATTATGTCCAGATAGATAACTAGATAAAGAAGTTGTGTTATATTTATACAATGGAATACTACTCAGCCATAAAAAATACTAAAATAATGCTATTTGCAGCAACACAGATGGACCTGGAGATGATCATTCTAAGTAAGGTAAGCCAGAAAGAGAAAGAAAAATACCATATAATAATGCTCATATGTGGAATCTAAAAAGAAGACAAATGAACTTATTTACAAAACAGAAATAGACTCACAGACATAGAAAACAAACTTATGGTTACCGGGGGGGGGAAGAGGGTGGGAAGGAATAAATTGGGAGATCAAGATTTGCAGATACTAACTACTATATATAAAATAGATAAACAACAAGGACCTACTATATAGCACAGGGAACTATATTCAATATCTTGTAGTAACCTATAATGGAAAAGAATATGAAAAAAATATGTATTTATATGTATGACTAAACTATTATGCTGTACACCAGAAACTGACACAACATTGTAAACTGACTATACTTCAATTAAAAAAAAAAGCCCCTTTCCCCATGGATCTTCCATTCTAATTTGGGACACGGACCATTAAAAACCCATCTCTCTCTCTCTCTCATACGTATGCATATATACATGTATATATGGATATACATATGCACATAGTATATGTGTGTATATATTTACATGTATTGAAGGCAGTAGATACAGTATAGTAATTGTTATAATTGATTAGATCTAAGGAATTATGACTAGCTGTGAAGATGAATCCAACAGAAACTCTGCAGAGGGAAAGATATTGAAACTGGGCTGAATATGAGAGATCACCAAGCAGAAAAGTAGAAGGTGTTCCAGGTCCTCCTACTCTTTGTTGGAAAAAGCAGAGTGTGACTTAGTGCCTATTATGGGCCGAATTGTCTCCCCCCAAATTCATACGTGGAAGTCCCAATCCCCAATATCCTCAGAATGTAACTGTGTTTGGAAATAAGGTCCTTAAAGAAGTAAAGAAGTTAAAAATAGACCATTAGAGTGGGGGACCTAATTCAGTATAACTGGAGTCCTTATAGAAGAGAGAAGAGAGACACCAGGGACACTCAGCATGGGAACAGGCCATGGTAGGAAGGCAAACTGAGGAGAGAGGCCTCAGGAGGAAGCAACCAACCCTGCTGGCACCTTTATCTTGGATTTCCACCTCTAGAACTGTGAGAAAATAAATTTCTGTTGCTGAAACCACCCAGTCTTTGGCATTTTGTTACAGCAGCCCTACGAGACTAACCCAAGTGCCTCCCATTCAGATTGGAAGGACAACAGTATATGCCTAGTGTGCAGAAAGCTTTCAAAAAATATTTACTGAGTAAAAATGTCCAAGAGTTACGCAGCTGATCCATGCTGAGCACTGATCTAATTTAATCCAGCAGCTCTCTGATGTCGATATTATTATTCCTGTCTTATCAGTGAGGAAACTGAGGCTTGGCGAGGTTAAGCAAGGTACCCCATATCGCTTGGCCGGTGAGTGAGCACATGTTTGAGCTCAGCCGGTCTGACCTGACAACACAGGCTCTTCTCTGCAGCCCCTGGGAGTGGAAGGAGATGGTAAAGAAGGGGAGGAAAGGGCAACGCATGGAGGGCCTTGGCTATAGCCTCGAGGCTGAATTATCAGGGAACCGGAAATCTAAGTCAGTACCCAGGAAACCTGTGATGCAATTACCCGTGTTTGCTCAGACTGACTCTGAAGTTAATCACAATCCACGCACCCAACTCATGACCCTGTTCCTCCCACAGACACCACTCCCCACCACTCATCTCCTCCCTTGTGTCACACACACACACACACACTCACATACACATTCACCCCAAACTCCTCAGACAATACAACTTTTTAAGAAGTCCTTTGAAGAATGCCTTAAAGGATTTGAATCAATAATTTCCTCAGATCCTAAACTGTCTCTCCCCAGTTTGCTTTTTAATGATATCTCCCAATTTGGCCATCACAACTGCTTCTCACTGTTTGCTCTTAGCTGGTTTACCCCATTCTTCTCTCAACCCATAGAGCATGTGTTTTTTCTTTTTTTTTTAAACAAAGAAATAGACATGGAATTAAGTCTTGATGTCCCATGTGCTTCATTATCCAGCCTTGTTGGGAATGTGTTAAACATACAGTGTGAGTTTTCATAAGTAGCAGAAAAGGATCAAAGGAACTTTACCAAAGGTTTTTCTTTTCTCTCTCTCTCCCCCAACCTCCTTTTTTTTTTTTTTTAACTGAGGTTTGGGTGATTCAAATCACACTAGGTAGTTGAGCTGATAAGATATGGGAGGAGAGATCTCCAGCAGTAGTTTTTATTTCAAGAAAAGAAAACTTTTGAAGTCATAAAATGCTCTTAGGTGTCTTTGATTTTTTTTTTCCAGTTGAATTGCAAACCTGGAATTAGAAGACGTTTGCAAAAAATATGCTTGATGTTAACCCTAGGTAGTTTATAAATAGAGTGAATTGAAAGAAGTTACATAGCGCAAAGATTACACTGCTATGCTGCTGAGATTTTTACATATCAGAACTTAAAAACTTTAAATGGGCTACTTAAAATTACTTTCTTTACCAGAAAATATAATATACACACACACACACACACACACCCACACACCCCTATATATATATCCCTTAATAATAATGTTCTAATATTGCTCTTCTATAAAGCTTTGAAGTGCTTGTTCCTAGGAGACATTCAGCAACAGTCCTTGGATTGGGAGGCTTTAAATAAATTGCCTGACATGAGATATAATGTGAAATGTAAAGTTCATGGGGAAACAAACTTGCTCATTTAATCCTGTCTTTGCAACGCAGAGGAATCTTGGGGTTTTTTTTTTTTTCATTTTTTGAAAATTTCAGTATAATTGACTTACAATATTATAATAGTTTCAGGTGTATAACACAGTGATTTGATATTTTTGTAGGTTATGCTCCATACAAAGTGATTACAGAATTATTGACTGTATTCCCTGTGCTGCACGTTTCACCCCGTGACTTACTTATTTTATAAACGGTAGATCTTTTTCCTTAACTTTTGGGTGTCTGTAGGCTATGTAGGTTTCCAAAGACAAGACTGGAATCCATAAGCTCTCAAACTGAGTCAAGAACACACATTTGTAACGAAGATTCATTACAATCTGGTTATGTACAGGACTCTGAGACATCTTCCTTGGTAATACTTAAAAAAAGCTGCTTTTCAAAATCCAATTTTGCTGAAATAAAAACTATTTCCTCTTTTCTTTAATTTTGTAGCTGCTATTATGGTTATCAGTTTCACCAAAATGGTTCTGAATATTTGCAGAGTCATGTCTTTGATGTGTATCAGCAGATACTTCTTTTTTCTCTGCGGGACATTAGCGAAATGGTTAAAATTTCAAATGAAAGCTCAGTAAGAAATATTTGGGTATTAAAAAGGTCATATAATTACCATCCTTAACAAATTTTTGTTGTATTTTCATTAGTTATTTTATGCATACTTTGAAAAGTCACAAAACTGTGTCCACAATTTTTGTATCTTGATTCTATTGCTTAAAGTGATAAAATCTTTTAAAAAA